TACAAAAGAGTGCAGCGACTTAAAATAAAAAATGAAAAACAAAAAACAAATGAATAAATAATATGAAATGATTATAGATGAATATCCCTTCTCCGGTCCAAAGAAATATATATAAAATATATATAAAAGTTCAAATATGTAAATAATGTGAACCAGGTAAAGTGATCTTGTGCTCTGGTGACTCTAGGGTCCGGTATCCGTTGCATAATGGTGAAAGTAATGGGCACTCAACCGGACGTGCATTATTAATGCACTTTTGTAAAATATCCAGATGTCATCAGATAATGGGTGGTCTTCCCTCTAAGGACTAGGTAGTATGAAGCTGGTGTAGGTGGTCCTCTGTTCCTCTAGGGGTCCCCTAATCATCCAGGTGGGTGGTAGTAGTATCCCTCTTAGGTGTGCAGACCTTCACTGTGCAGCAATGATCCGTCCCCTGGTGGTGGATCTGTGGGCTAGGAGCACTCCCCAGGGGGTGGCAAACAGAGATCCTACTCCCATAGTGTAGTAGGGTGTTTTAAGATACTTTATTGTGATGCATCAAGGTAAGTAACATAAAAATGCAGACAGAAATCGATGGGACTAACCATCTGATAAAGTAAGATGGCCATGGAGCTCCACGCTGCTCTCCGGCAGTGTGACGTCACGGCGTGGTGTGGCTCCTCCTGACGCGTATCACGTGCTTCAAAACACGTCCTCAGAGGGGGTTTGCCAATCACACCGTGTCGTCGCCGTTCATTTTATTTATTAAAGGATTAAGCACATGCGCATTAAGCAGCGGCCATGTTAAAGTAGTGCCAGAGTATGCTGCGCAGGCGTGGACATTTGATAGCGCCATTTTCCCCTTGGTTTCCCCGTATAGGAAGACAGAGCAGAAGCTAGTGTCTGTGTGTCCAAAATGATGCAGTGCTGTTGTGCACGCATATAAGGCTTCGATGCCATTTTCCGTTAGTTTCCAGTATGCAATAGACAGAGCAGACAGAGCATCTGGATATCTGAGTTTATTCATATAACTAAACATAGAAAACGATAGATTTAAAGCAATGTTCAAATGTTGGGGAAAAGGTGATAAACTATTATGATGACAATATATAATAAGTAACTATTAAAGATTGTCTATAACTATATATAAGCGAGTTTGAAAAGTTAGTGCGCATGTGCAAATTATGTCATTGTTACATAGTATTAAAAAGAAGAAATCCCTGTGGGGGACAAGGAAGCCCCCAAGTATTAAACGATATCTCATTATTAAAAAATATCCACATAATTATAATAAAATTAAGTAAATAAACATATGATAAATCTATGATTAAATAGTATGCATTAATATCAATAATAAGAAAGGCACTTAAATGGTAATATAATAATATAAAGTGCCCCCATTAGTGTAAAAAGCAAAAAAAAAAGCAAAAAAAATTGTCCACAAATGAATGGACCAAGTTAAAAAAAATATCCAAATATACGGTATATAGAAGAAAAAACCTTATATCAATGTAGCGAAATTTTTTTTTTTATTATAATAAAAATAAAAGTAAAATAAATAATTATAATAATAAAAATTAAAATTAAAATTGAAAATTGGAACCAGGTTTCTGATAAAAGATGAGTGAAAGTAAGTAACAAGCGTGATGATGTAAAACCTCTCAATGAACAAAATTATATATATATAATAATATTATTAATGGGTGAAAGTTTAGCTATTCTCATGAAACAGTTAATGTCAACTTCAATATATTTAGGCCATTGGGATGTAGGGAAACAGAGCCCATGTATCCATTTCAGTTCAAGTTGGGATTACTGCCCTTTCTTATGTATTCCTCCAGTGAGGTTTAATCATAATATCAATTCCTATAAATTTTTTAAAGAAGTTGAGTGTCTTTATGGTGAAACCGCTTTATAGTGGTTGGAGAGTGAATGTTCCTTGTATCCACGTTTGATATTATTAACATGCTCTTGTATCCTATGTCCCTGAGCAGCCTTGTGGCAGCGACCTATGTATTGCAACTTACAGGGACATTCTAAAGATACAACCATGAATTTGCTATTGCAAGTGATGAATTTATCAATATATTATAAGTTTTCCCAGTTACTTGTGACGTAAACACAGTTTGTTTGCGCTTCCTGCTACTTTCACATGTGCAAAAATCATGCATTTGTTACAAGGGTGGTACCCTTCAGATCTTTAAACAAGGAAAATCTATTCCAGGGACGTTAATCACATTTGGTGTAGGTAATGTCGCAAGCTAGTGGCTTTGCGAAAGATCTATTTCAGGTTTTTCGTTTACGGGCAGTTATTTTAGTCAAAACGGGATCAGATTTTAGCACTTTCACGTGTTTTTGTTAATTAATATGATTAATTGCCCTATATTGCATGGAATGTGTGGTGATGAATGGACAGATTTGACCTTTCTTGTCTTTCACCTTATCTTTTAGTAGGTCTTCCCTATTATTAATAGGGAGATGATAGGGGGACCCCTAGAGGACGAGGACCACCTACACCAGCTTCATACTACCTAGTCTTAGAGGGAAGACCACCCCTTATCTGATGACATCTGGATATTTACAAAAGGCGCATTAATAATGCGCGTCCTGTGAGTGCGCATTACTTTCATCATTAGTGCACAGATACCGGACCCTAGAGTCACCAGAGCACAAGAGTCACTTTACCTGGTTCACATTATTTACATATTTGAACTTTTTATATTTTATATATATGTTATATATATTTCTTTGGACCGGAGAAGGAATATTCATCTATATCATTTCATATTATTTATTCATTTGTTTTTGGTTTTTATTTTTATTTTAGCGCTGCACTCTTTAATATTTTTTTCTAATATACCATCTTAGGTTTGGTTCACACTTGTGCGGGCCAAGCGGCCCATGTTTGCTTGGGCACAGCAATTCATTGATTTGAATGGGCTTCTGTGCCTGCTTCTGTGCCTGCGTTTTCTGCAAATAACAAGGTGCATGCACTCTTTTAAAAAAATGCGGCCACAGGAAAATTGCATGGTCTTTTTGATTATGTGATTTTCCTGCCACACCTACAAACATGCCGCTGGCTCTGATGTGTGGGGGTGCTATTCAGCTGCGGGGACAGATGCGATTCCCAGAACCAGCCCACAAAGTGTGAACCAGGGCTTATACTATTTTATTTTATAACTGAGTCTTTTTTTAAATACATGTCCTGCATAGCTGTCTATAGCTGTCTAAAGTCGGTCATACATGGATCAAAATTTGGCCAGTTCAGCAGGGACCAGCCAAACTGCAATGCCTCTCTGGCTGCAGCCCTCCATGGATCGGGAAATCCTCAGCAAACTGCAAAAACACACAGGAGGGTGCAAACTCCTCTTGCATTACCATAAACAAATTTATTGAATCCACCAAGACAAATTGATACTTAAAAGCATGTAAAAACAGCAAGCATATAACATATACACTTCAGCCGTAGGCGGTGTGACAAGTCTTTCGACCAAAAGGTTTGAAGGCTTTGACGACCTGTCATCAGAGGCATCCCTGCAGTCATCCGCTCCAGCTCTGAGGGATGCTGAGCTCCTGCGCCGCTTCAAGTCCATGCTGCAGTCGGAATTGTCCTCTTGCTACTTGCAAGCTGGCCGATCGTCTTTCGAGAGAAATCGGGAGTTGGGCAATCGGACGAACGATCTTGAAGATAAAAATGGACGCTGCGGCCAAGGTCATTGAAAGTCATGAACAGGATCTGTGTGACTTCAATATAGAATTGGCGGATGCGCTGCTCCAGCTTGAGGATTTTGAAAACCGTTCCTGACGCGGAAATTTGTGATCAAGGGGTATCCCAGAAACTGTCACAGATCTCACCTCAACCGCTACTGCTCTGTTTCAGGAGCTGACGCCCGCCATTCCCATTGACTGGCTCGAATTTGACCGCACACACCATGCATTGGGCCCCAGATGACTGGATGGGCCCCGAGAGACATTATCATCAAATTCACTTACTATCACACTAAGGAAACTCTCCTCCTGGTGGGCAGAAACAACCCAGACCTCAGACTCCAGCTCTTCACGGACGGACCTCTCCCAGACCACTCTTCAGAAGCGCCGCCTGTTGAGGCCTTCACTTTGTTCCTGGTGAATCACAGAATTAAATGCGCCTTGGGCTTTCCATTCCGCCTCACCTTCAACTACCAGGTGTCAGGAATGGACTGGCCAGCAATGGTGGGACTCACCTGCCTTTTGATCTGCAGTACCAGGGCTGGCCAGCGGGTGCTCCCAGCAATCAGAGACTCAACCTTTCAGCCAGCTAACACCTGGAACTGATGATACTGGTGTATTTAAGGGATGGCCAGACTTGCAGACTCTGCCTCCAGCTGCTCCATTCGTTTGCAGACCTGCGTTTACTTGCAGTGCTCCAGTAGTTAAAACCAGAAAAAAGCGAAAATTCTTTCCAACCCAATACCATCCTGCCAGTATCCAAACCGGTGAGCCTGCCTTCCGTGGTTCAGCCTGAAGCCTCTACTCAGCCTGAAGCCTCTACTCAGCCTGATGCCTCTACTCAGCCTGATGCCTCTACTCGGCCTGATGCCTGTACGCAGCCTGATGCCTCTCTTCAGCCTGATGCCGGTACGCAGCCTGATGCCTCTCTTCAGCCTGAATGCCTGTATGCAGCCTGATGCCTCTCTTCAGCCTGATGCCTCTACTCGGCCTGATGCCTCTACTCGGCCTGATGCCTCTACTCGGCCTGATGCCTCTACTCGGCCTGAAGCCTCTACTCGGCCCGATGCCTCTACTCGGCCCGATGCCTCTACTCGGCCCGATGCCTCTACTCGGCCTGAAGCCTCTACTCGGCCTGAAGCCTCTACTCGGCCTGAAGCCTCTACTCGGCCTGATGCCTCTACTCGGCCTGAAGCCTCTACTCGGCCTGAAGCCTCTACTCGGCCTGAAGCCTCTACTCAGCCGGACGCCAGCATTCAGCCTGATGCCTCTACCCAGCATGATGAACTGATCCAGCCTGACGATCCTATTAGGCCAGTTGACTCGATGCCCGCTTTTGATCCAGATGATCCGGTACCTGATCCGGTGCCCGCTGTCGTGCCAATTGGCTCAGAGCCCGCTGTCGTACCTGGTGACTCGGTGCCCACTGCCTTGCCAGATGACGCGGTGCCCGCTGGCGAGCCAAATGACCTGATGCCTGGTGACCCAGTGCCCGCTGTCATACCTGGTGACCCGATGCCCGCTGTCGAGCCAGACGATCCAATGCCTGGTGACCCGGTGCCCACTGCCTTGCCAGATGACGCGGTGCCCGCTGGCAAGCCAAATGACCTGATGCCTGGTGACCCAGTGCCCGCTGTCATACCTGGTGACCCGATGCCTGCTGTCGAGCCAGACAATCCGGTACCTGATGACCCGGTGCCCACTGTCGTGCCTGTTGACTCGGAGCCCACTGCCTTGCCAGATGACGCGGTGCCCGCTGTCGAGCCAAATGACCTGATGCCTGGTGACCCGATGCCCGCTGTCCAGCCAGATGATTCAATGTCTGCCCCAGTGCCCGCGGTCATGCCAGTTGACTCGGAACCCACTGCCTTGCCAGATGACGCGGTGCTCGCTGTCAAGCCAAATGACTTGATGCCTGGTGACCCGATGCCCGCTGTCCAGTCAGACGATCCAATGTCTGACCCAGTGCCCGTGGTCATACCAGTTGACTCGGAGCCCACTGCCTTGCCAGATGACGCGGTGCCCGCTGTCGAGCCAAATGACCTGATGCCTGGTGACCCGATGCCCGCTGTCCAGCCAGACGATCCAATTGTCTGACCTAGTGCCAGCGGTCATGCCAGTTGACTCGGAGCCCACTGTCGTGCCTGGTGACTCGGTGCCCGCTGCTCCGCCTGGGGGCCCGAGACCTGTCGCTCCGCCTGGGGGTCCAGCGCCCGCCGCTCCACCTGGGGGTCCGGCGCCCGCCGCCCCGCCTGGGGGCCCGAGACCTGTCGCTCCGCCTGAGGGCCCGAGACCTGTCGCACCGCCTGGGGGTCCGGCGCCCGCCGCTCCACCTGAGGGCCCGAGACCTGTCGCTCCACCCGGGGGTCCGGCGCCCGCCGCTCCGCCTGAGGGCCCGAGACCTGTAGTTCCGCCTGGGGGTCCGGCGCCCCGCCGCTCCGCCTGGGGGCCCGATGCCTGTCGCCCCGCCTGGGGGCCCGATGCCTGTCGCCCCGCCTGGGGGCCCGATGCCTGTCGCCCCGCCTGGGGGCCCGATGCCTGTCGCTCCACCTGGGGGTCCGGCGCCCGCCGCTCCGCCTGAGGGCACGAGACCTGTCGCTCCACCCGGGGGTCCGGCGCCCGCCGCTCCGCCTGAGGGCCCGAGGCCTGTAGTTCCGCCTGGGGGTCCGGCGCCCGCCGCCCCGCCTGGGGGCCCGATGCCTGTCGCCCCGCCTGGGGGCCCGATGCCTGTCGCCCCGCCTGGGGGCCCGATGCCTGTCGCCCCGCCTGGGGGTCCGATGCCTGTCACCCCGCCTGGGGGCCCGAGGCCTGTCGCTCCATCTGGGGGTCCGGCACCTGCCGCTCCGCCTGAGGGCCCGAGACCTGTAGTTCCGCCTGGGGGCCCGATGCCTGTCGCCCCGCCCGGGGGCCCGGTGCCTGCCGCTCCGCCCGGGGGCCCGGTGCCTGCCGCTCCGCCCGGGGGCCCGGTGCCTGCCGCTCCGCCCGGGGGCCCGCTGCCTGCCGCTTCGCCTGGTAGCCCGATGTGCCTCTGCCCGGGGTCCTGCCCAATGTGCCTCTGCCCGGAGTCCTGCCCGATGTGCCTCTGCCTGGAGTCCAGCCCGATGTGCCTCTGCCCGGTGTGCCTCTGCCCGGAGTCCTGCCCGATGTGCCTCTGCCCGGAGTCCAGCCCGATGTGCCTCTGCCCGGTGTGCCTCTGCCCGGAGTCCAGCCCGATGTGCCTCTGCCCGGAGTCCAGCCCGGTGTGCCTCTGCCCGGAGTCCAGCCCGATGTGCCTCTGCCCGGAGTCCAGCCCGATGTGCCTCTGCCCGGAGTCCAGCCCGATGTGCCTCTGCCCGGAGTCCAGCCCGATGTGCCTCTGCCCGGAGTCCAGCCCGATGTGCCTCTGCCCGGTGTGGCTCTGCCCGGTGTGCCTCTGCCCGGAGTCCAGCACGATGTGCCTCTGCCCGGAGTCCTGCCCGGTGTGCCAGTCTTTGATATCCCGCCAGTTACCAGACCCGGGCGGTGGAACATTTTTCCCAGCTAGGACTGTTTGGAGCATCCTGAGGCCGCTCCTTGAGGGGGGGGTACTGTCAGGAATGGACTGGCCAGCAATGGTGGGACTCACCTGCCTTTTGATCTGCAGTACCAGGGCTGGCCAGCGGGTGCTCCCAGCAATCAGAGACTCAACCTTTCAGCCAGCTAACACCTGGAACTGATGATACTGGTGTATTTAAGGGATGGCCAGACTTGCAGACTCTGCCTTGGTGTTGTGTTTGTCCTGGGCCCTGTATCTGTCCTGCATCCTGTTTCTGTTCCTTTGCTACCTGTTCTGATCCCTGGCTTGTGACCCTGACCATCCCTCTGCCTGACCCTCTGTACTACGCTGCTTGCTACCTGTTCTGATCCCTGGCTTGTGACCCTGACCATCCTCTGCCTGACCCTCTGTACTACGCTGCTAGCTACCTGCTGAACCTGGCCTGTGACCCCGACCATTCTCCGCTTGCTCCCCCTGTACCTACCTGCCCAATTGATATTGACTCGGCCTGCCTGACGACGCTTGCTTGTATGTACTGTTATCTGTGGGTGGTTGGTTGGGTTTGTTTGCACTGTATTATGTTTAGTATTGCACTGCGTTTATGTTTGTATTGTTAGTGTTAATAAATTACATTGTTAATCACATATCTGAAGTCTGCGTTTCCCTGCTTCAGTCACACACCTCTGGTCATACCTGGGAGCCCTGACACCAGGGCTGCAGCCACTCTGTTGCAACGCCGGAGGAAGCCCACTCTCTCCTGGAATCTTTACACCTTCTTCCACCAGGAGGCGCTACTCAGAGCCCAGCCCATTCATCTGGATCCCCGGTGAGGCCGCTTCCTCTCCAGGCTGAAGCTGATCTCAGACCTCCCATGTTGTGTTTCACCGTTGGACTTTCCTGACAGGACCGTGAGTCTGGCCCTTAAGGCATCCCCAGTTTGTTAGCATTCCAGGATGGGCCTGGTCCAGCTTGTTCCCTTGGGTTCCATCCTTGAGTAGGGGGGGGGGTCACCTCCTGGACTTGAGGACTATGACTTTTTGCCGTTGTGGCCTACTACGGGTCCAGGTGACGTTGTTCGGGTTCCTGTTAGGGAAATGAGCTGATAGTTCCCTCGAGCTCCAGGGTGGAAGGTTGGCCCGAGTGGGCCCTAGTTGGGTGCCAGGATGTCGGTCCTACTGGGAGGTTGGTGGGGGACCACTTGGGCTGTGTTGTGGGGTTCCACCGCAGCCTGTAGTCATCCTCCTGGAGGGGGTTGGCCCCAAACTTTAGCTTGGTCTCCAATGGTGAGGTCTACGCGGATGTACTCACTTCCAGCACTCATACTTTTATTGCTTTGGTACTCTGTTATGTTGTGTTTTCTGCCTTTTTGCCCCTCAAGGGCTTATGTTTTTGATGTTTTCATTTGCAGCCATGTGTCCGGTGGTAGAGCCACCCCCAACTGGTATCCCTCAAGTGTAGGATGCACATCACCATTGGCATGATACGATTGTACTATTGTACATACTCCTTGTGTCGTCTTCTTCTTTCCTTTTCTTGTTTTCTTTTCTTCTCTGGTTTTTCTGTTTTTGTTTCATGCAGGGTTTCAGGACACCATGGTCCAACCTCCATTGGGAGTAAAAATCGTTGGCTGACTTATGCTTTTTCCGCTGAGTGTGCTGTGCTGATGCCATCATGGCCTCACCCTTTTTGAAAGTACATTCACAAAATGTTCAAGGCTTCAATTCACCTCAGAAGCGGGCTAAAGTTTTCCATCACCTCAAATCGCAACAAATTGACGTGGTATGTTTGCAGAAAACTAGGTTTTCTCAGTCATCCGCTCCATGGTGTCTTTTGCCCCATTATCCCACTTTTTAAATGGCCTCGGCTCCTGAGAAAATCTGGGGTGTATTGATAGCTTTCTAACGCAATCTTCCCTTTGTCTGTGCTTGGAATATAGTGGACCCCACGGGCAGTTATTTGCTCCTACAGGGCACCCTCTGGGACCAGGAGGTTACTTTTGTCTCTTACTACACGCCCAATCGCTTTCAGCATAAATTTTTTTTCATCTTTGAACCATCGTTTCCCAACACTCCAAGGGTCTGCTTCTTTTGGGAGATTCAAATGTTACCTTGGATTCCGCTTTGGATGCACGGCGGGTGGCCACTTCTCACAACTTAGTGCTAGAGGAATGTATGCGCTCTCTTTTACAGACGGCAGGGCTGGTGGACGTCTGGAGGGAACTTCATCCAACTGAGCACGACTTTACATTCTATTCCAATCCTCATGACAGGTTTTGTAGAATTGACAATATATTCATGCATGTCCAGCAGCTTTGCTTGGTCAGGTGGATATCTATTCCCTCCTCGTCCTGGTCTGACCATGATCCCCTGGTACTCCTCCTTGCCCTCTCTGGGTCGGTATGGCGCCCCTTTCACTGGCACATTAATGAATCTCTATTGACCACTCAGGTTACCTGCCAGCAAATAGAATCTTTTTTTTTTTATAATTAACAGTTTTTATTGATTATCTTATGTATATACATACATCACATTTGAAAGAGAAACAAGAGAAACAGGCACATCGATGGTAGAAATCTGCAAGGGTACAGAACATATAATGTCCCAAAATAACAGTGAAAAAGCAGTTAAATCCATACATTTTGGGCAGGCTGAGAAGAAATAAAGACATCCCATGGGTTCCATACTGCCTCAAACACAGCAATCGAACAAGCATGTAGAGCGGTCAAATATTCCATCTGTCTTACATCAGCAATAATTTTAAACAAAGTCGGCATCGAAGGAGGTATGGAGGATAGCCAACACATAGGAATGCTTCTTCTGGCCGCAGTCAGAACATGTGCGGAGAGTTTCCTGGACGGTTTGGAGAGGCCCGGAAATGGCAGGCTCAATAAAAGGTATAGAGGCTCGAAAGGGAGAGAGGTATGCAATAGCAATTGTAATAAGGACAAAACCTCTTCCCAAAAAGGAATAATGGACCCACATGCCCAAAAAATATGGTAGAGAGAGCCAAAATTCTTCCCACAGTGCCAGCAGACAGAAGAAGCATTCAAGTTACATGCGTGGAGTAACTTCAGGCATTTTGTACCACAAAATCATAATTTTGTATGTATTTTCCTTATAAACTACGCAAACAGAGGATCTAGGTGCATTTTCCCAAATTTTTTTCCAGAGTGTCAGATCAATGTCACATTGTAAAAACTGGGACCACTAGCTCATGTAATAATGAGTGTCATTAGATAAGGGAAAAGTGTCCATAAGGAGCTTATATGTATTAGGGATGATACCCCTTTGATGTGGGCCTTGTATACATAAAACGTTCAAAGGGAGTGGGCTTCTTAAGGGTCAATGAGGGTATTATAGTAGAGAAAAAATGGCGTATCTGAAGATAAACATATAGATGTTGGGAAGGTAGGAGATTTTTTTTTTTTGGAGGTCCGAGAATGGTTGTAGCTTCTGAGTTACAGGGTGTACTAAGTGGCGTAGTTAGAAAAGGTCGGCTGCGACCCAAGGGAGCACTTGGGACACAGCCAAACTATCCGGAAGATTGGGATTAAAAAGAATATTGGTCAGCGGAGAACAATCGGAGGCCAGTGCAAATTTAGCCTTACATTTCTGCCAAACAGTCAGGGAGAATTGCATGATACCAAGGAAGAGATGACAAAAAGAAGCGACATCCACTGCCGAAATTGACCAAAGGAGGGAGCATGGATGAGTTGGAGTACAGTACGTGCGATTCTATGACACTTGTTGTGCCAAATGAAATGTAAGAGGGATTTCTGGAGGGAGTATAATTTGGACATAGGAATGGGAACAGGAAGAGTTGTGAATAAATACAGGAGATTGGGCAGCAAAGTCATTTTTATTTCATTGATGCGTCCGAGGAAGGAAATAGGTAGGTTATCCCAAAATTTCAGGGAGCGGGAAATAGCTACAAATAAGGGGAGAAAATTAGCCTCATATATAGAATGGTAGGAGGAAGTGAGGTTAGTACCCAGATATTTTAAAGAGTGGGTGCACCATCGGTAAGGGAAGGACTCTTGGAGGGAAGAGAGAACAAAGGGTGGGATGTGTAATGGGAGTGCTTCAGTTTTGGACGTATTGACTTTATAGCCTGACAGGGTCCCAAATTGTTGT